ACTGAAGTTCAGTCACTCAGTCCGACTCTCTGCGACACCATGGACTGCAGCACACCAGGCCCCCCTGTCCATCACCAACTCGTGGAGTTCACTCAAACTCATGTCCATTGAGTCGGTGATGCCATCCAACCATCTCATTCTCTGTTGCCCCCTTCTCCTCCTACCTTCAATTTTTCCTAGCATCAAGGTCTTTTTCAGTGAGTCAGCTCTTCGCATCAGGTGCCAAAGTATTGGAGATTCAGCTTCAAAATCAGTCCTTCCAATGAATATTCAGGACTGATTTCCTTTAGGATGGACTGGTTGGATCTCCTTGCAGTCCAAGGGATTCTCAAGCGTTTTCTCCAACACCACTGTTCAAAAGCATCAATTCGTCACCACTCAGCTTTCTTTATAGTCCAACTCTCACATCCATACATGGCCACTGCAAAAGTCATAGCTTTGCCTGTACTGACCTTTGTCAGTAATGTCTCTGCTTTTTAATATGCTGTGTAGGCTGGTCGTATCTTCTCTTCCAAAGAGCAAGCGTTTTTTAATTTCATGGCTGCGATAGCCACCTGCAGTGAGTTTGGAGCCCAAGAAAATAAAGTCTGCCACTGTTTCCACTGTTTCTCCATCTATTTGCCACACACAAATCTATTTGCCAAGACACACACACACACTATTAAAAAAAAGCATTTTATCTGCCTGACCCTAGAATGCATGTACCCATAACTCTTACACAACACTGATATTAACTAAAAAAAATTTAAGGTTCAATTCAAGACACTGAAGTAACAGGAACACCAAACATATATTTTTAGTACACAGGATACCTTGTGAAAGAGTAGGAATGCTAAAGGGGACAAGCCTACTCAACTCCTGTGGATTCACTGTCTTAAGAGAAATGCAAGTACCCTGTCAAATCATATAAATTTTCAAGAGGATTTCCAAATTCAGATTTTTATTTGAACTGTCTGACTTTCAAATACTCCTTGATTGAAAACAAAACAAAGCAGGCTGCTGCTAGCTTGATTCCTTTATGGAAATACAATCATCTGTGAACGTTTTGCATTCGCGATATATGATGTTCATATATGGACTTCATTATCATAACTGGTTAAACAAGCATAATCTTATATTACCATCACAAACTATTAACAAACTGAGTTTTGGGATAAATAATCAGATCCACAATACAGGAAACAAAACAAAGAAAGAAAAAAATCACTGTTTTTAGAGAACCTGTTCAAAACTGTCAGTCAACAAGGCTTGTCTTCTGTAGATGGGGGTATTTGTTTGTATAAGATAAAGACAGAACTTTAAAATCTAACTGGCTTTCCAAGTAGTTTAACCTTTAGAAGGTTATGTATGGAACAAGTATTCCAAAAAGAAGCCCAATGAATTCAAGTACTGTGACTAAAATCCTACAGTTCTGAATCCAAATTTAGTACTCTTTCTACTTTACCAGAATTACACCTCAACCTTGAAATTCCTGGCCTGAAAGGCCACAATCCTTAACTCCAGGGATATCTGTGTTGTTAATCTTTATTTGAGAAATGATTCATTTTTTGTTTTTTGGACCCTGGAAGCTTCTGGGTCAGGAGATACAGAGTACTACTTATTTCAGGATCCAGGTTCAGACTAAGACCTTAAGTATTTAAATGGAGGAAAAACTAAAAACACCTGAGTGGTTAAATATATCGTGCATTTTGTGTCTAACACAGGGCACCAATATGTTACAGCTGCTATTTTAATTCAGCTAATACAGTTACAGCGGAGTTTAGCAATGGAGCAGCATTCCCTGCGCCTCCCATTCCATTTTGTTTTAGAGGAGACCAGTCTCTCAGTTATTTTTTTGTCATTCAAAATTGTCATTCTTCTAAAAGAAGAGACTTGGATTTCCCATCCCATCCAAACTTCCTGTCTTTCAAAACACAAATAACTGAAGTCTACGGAGAGGATTTGTAGCTTTCTGTCCTATTTCTATTATGGATAAAACAAATATATTGGAATATCAAACATACTCTGCTTTATAAAGCCCTAACTAAAGTGAACGAAGACTGTCTCGCCCTAAGGACTTACTAGAGTGAGGACTAGTGTGTGTGTTACCAAATGCATATATTTGTATGTACTTGCATGAATGTATGTTATGTATAAACTGAGAAACTCTTAACTTTGGACAGCAACAGCAGATATCACATAACTAATTTTTCATGAAGTCCAACCTTGAACTAATGATTTACGATTTTCTAAATCATTTATTCAAGGTACTGAGACAATTATTGTACACCAGGAATCAGGTAAGCAAGACAGACATATTCCTGGCCCTCGTGGAGCTTCCAGTTGGGTAACACGCAAAAAACATGTTACTTTTTAAAGTGGCACCTCATTACCCACATTTTAGATATATTAAACTTGTGTAACTGTTCTTCAGAAAGAACTTTTTAAGAACTTAAGAAATAAAATGCAAAGATGTTTATACAGAAAAACGGCAAATAACATTCGATAATACTACCAACATTTCAACATCTTCCAAATCTCCATTTCGGATAATCATCACAGGAATTAAGCAGGCAATCTCTCCAATTACAGACTTGAGCTTTCAGGTACAGGTATTACAGAAGCATTTACAGAAGATAATGTCTGCTTATTATATAGCTAATGTGCAAAGCCCAATAATACAATGGGCTTATGAGCAAAAGTTTAACTGTTCTTTTATTTACAGCAAATTTTTGCAACTTAAACTCATTTCTTATCAAGATCTTACACCACTTATAGATCTTTAAAGAAAGGCCTGAGGTTTGTGACATGTCTAAGATTGTTACAGGGCTTATCTTTATCATTTCTTAATGTTTCATACAAGACAATTGATGACAGTAAGTACTGAGCTGCTCATTTTTCCTTGTTCAATGTGAAAAGAAAGTCAAGTATTAATTCTAATTCTAGCTCTTTTCCAGCTGTTTGACAAATATCAAGAAAGTAAGACACCCTAGGCCTCAGTTTCCTTATTTGCAAAGTAGGCTATACTAGAAATCTTCCCATTTCAAAATTAAATAAGCAACTCCAATAGGTGTGTATCCGCTAGCTTTCCCAGTAAACTACGGACAATCTTAAACTATAAGATAAGCACTTTTAGCATAAATTTTGAAATAAGCTGAATTATGGAAATTAAGTTTTTAAAAACTACACAAATGTGAGGCCTTTCAAAAGCTGGACAATTTATCCTAAGTATTGCTCATAGGTGGCATTACTACTTTCCAGTAAGTTCATGTAGTTAGACATTTTCACCTCTAAATCCATTTCTAAAAAAAAAATTCAATACAGCAGCTACTCTTTTTCCTCGTGGACAACTGTGTCTACTCCATAACTGACTGACAACTATTTTCATCTTGAGACGAGGAACTCTTGAGAAGTACTGAGTTTTACTCATGTTTTTTATCTAGCTCATCTCACATACCACAACCACCACCACCACCACCCCCCACCCCCGCCCCACACAGCTCATAGATTACACTCTTGAAACAATCGTTGACTGAGTTTAATTCTTACTGATTAAAATCATCTATTTACTACTACTATACTTCTAATTAAAAGCAGTTTGTTTTATTCACTAACATCATGCAATCTTATGATCACATTCCTTCTGGATTTCTCAAAAGGGGGGAGAGGATTTTCAGGGCTCAATTAAGGAAGGAAAATTAAACTACTAAAACCTAATCAATCCCATGATTGAATTCCTTCTGGATTTCTCCAAAGGAGGGGAGAGGATTTTAAGGACTCATTTAAGGAAGGAAAATTCAACTACTAAACCCAGTCACCATCTCCCGCTTTAAGCAGGAGCAGTTAGTTATCTTAAACATATTCCCACCCAGTCCAATTCCCAAGGTCGCCCCTATCCCTAGAACAGTTCACTGATTTTTCCAGTTCACTAACTCTTCCTTCTTCTAAGGAGCAAAATTAGAGATCACAAATCTAATGGAACTTGACTCTATAGTCCATTTAACAAATTGCTCCCCTTGCCAAGTTAATTAGCCACACAAAAGGGTAGATCCGAGAAATACAGGGCAGCAGCTGACTATATATGTGTGTGTGTATATATATATATATATATATATTTTTTTTTTTTAATAATCAGCTATATCCTTCCCAAAACTATTATAGTAATCTTAGGGTTGTAAAAAACCTTAACGCACCACCCAATCTAGACCACTCTTCAGTCTAGTATTGATTCCGGATCCATATTAACATTTCTAAGCCCCGGAAGGCCAGTATTTCAAAAGACCTGACATTTCATTCTGGCAACATCAGTTCCTCCCAAATTTCAAAGCAACTGTATCCCTCCGACTCTCTATAAATTATTTGTTCCTAGTTACCCTCCAGGAACTACGCAAAAGCTGTGTCTTTCAGAATAGCGGCCAAGATTTCTTCTGCCTGGCCTGAACCACATAATCATCTTTTCAAACATTACCTTTCCCAAAGTAAGTAAATATGTAACCAAACAGGCCATTCCTGCCACTGCCTATTTAATAGGAACAGCCAGAAATTACTTGTCGACATTTCCCTGGACTAATCATCTATCTATACCACGTCTTAAACATCCTTACTTACTAAACTACCAGCTTTAATCGAGGCATTAAGGGTTTTCGAAATTCTGTCTAACAAAAAAAAACTGTTCTCAAAATACGCACTACCTCCGCATAATACTACCAGGAAATAAACCCAAGGGCCTGCAACTCAGAAGAGGCCTTCTCTCAGCCGCGCCCAGGACGGATAAACGTTACGTGAAGAAGGAAATTAGGATCAAAGAAAAAATCCAAGGCTAGATGAAGTGTTAGGTCATGTGGAGACCGAGGACGAAAGGGCAGGCCTGGTCTTTGCCAGTGAGTCCGAGTCTCTCCATGGGGAGACCGGCTCCGCTCGGAGCAAGCTAACCTCCTCAACCCTCAACTCACAACGACGACCACGATTCGGGCGACCACTCCAGAGCCCAGACTCCGCCCGTCACCTTTCTCCGCACTAACCTTTCTCCTCTCGGCTGTCGGCCGCCATTGCTCCCCTCTTGTTTCCGCTGCTGCTGCTGCTGCTGCTACGGCCGCCGCCGCTTCGAGGCGACTCGCGCGGGCGCCGCAGCCGCGGCAGCAAAACAGGCGCGTCCGTCAGTCCGGCCGCTGGGCTGCGCGCTCCGCACCGTGGCCGCTACACTGACCCTTCCCGATTCACCCTTTCTCCCCGCTTCTTCCCTTTCTCTCTTTTCCCCTTCCCTCCTTTCACTCTAGCCACCCACAGCTTAGGCCCAGCCTTCCCGTTGGGGCTTAGAGACGGGAGGGGGGTGGGGGGAGGCGGGGGGCTGGGGGGAGGGAAACAGATGGCGACGGCGGGCGGCGCTAAAATGGAGCCTGCTTCCTGCGTGAAACAATCCAGCTCCCGAAGTGCCCTGCGCTGTTTACGCTACGTTCCTCCCTGGGAACGTCACAGTGCGGAGAGGGGCGAGGAGGCGGGACGGGCGAGGGAACGTGACGTAACGTCCTCACGTCGTGCCGCCTCCCGCAACCCGGAAGTCTCTGGGATGAGTTTCATTTCTAGTGATGAAGTATTCCAAGTTACATGCTATTCTGCGTACTCCCTGGTTTCTGTTTTCTCACCTGAAGCGCCTATACCTTACAGCTTCAAGGCAAAGATGCTTCCTGTCTCTCCGCGGGACACCTGATTCAGTTCTGAAAATTGAAGGCTTATTTAGAACAAGTCGGGGCCAGTCCCTTTGCGGCCACTTTCTACACTCAGTACAGGATGTACTTTCTAATTTGGTGCTGGAGGCTTACCGAAAGGCAGCGCATGATGCGATCAGCTCACTTGTAACAAAAGCCTACTAGTTTTGTTTTTTACTGGGGAAAGGAATTATATTGTATTTTAAAATAGCTTTGTAAGTCACATAAATTTGTTTTAAACATGTATCGAGGTCCTAGGGTACACAGTTGAGTTAAACAGACTTGAGAAATTAAAACTACGAGAGTGACCAAAAGTCATTTTACATGATAGAGTAAGATCTTCGAGGACACTTGCTTAAAGTTCATTGTCAAAGGGATGAAAATGTAATTTTGCTTCACTGTTCCATAACTGAGTTTACAAGGGAAAGAAAATTTGAACGCAAAAAAAAAAAGTGACATTGTTAAGATATAAAATCAAAGTAATGACAAACTTAAAGAAAGATCTATGCTGCCTTGTTCTTTGATTGACCTTGATTGGTTTCTCTCTTAAAGGAGTTACTTTATGTTCTACTGAGGAAGACAAAACATAAGTAAAAAATTAAAAATCATGATGAAGTCTATGAAAGAAACAAAAAGCTAATACGGCAAGGCAGGGGATAGGTGGAGGCTTTTTATATAAAGTCCTGAGGAGGTGAAGTTGAGACTGATACCCAGCAAAAGGTGGAGATAAGGGTCTTCCAGGCAGAGACCAGTACACAGAAAGGCTCTGATCAGGAAAGAGGCCTTGGTGTGGTCAAAGATCTACAAAGAACATCACTGAGCTCCCACCCAGATAATGAGCGAGAGAACAAGTGGCTGAGATAATGCTTGAGAAACAGGCCACCTCTTTAGGAGTAAGGGCCTAATCAGGACCCAACCAAAAACAAAAGCATGTCAGTATCTACTGCTACTGCTACTGCTGCTGCTGCTAAGTCACTTCAGTCGTGTCTGACTCTGTGCGACCCCATCCCTGGGATTCTCCAGGCAAGAACATTGGAGTGGGTTGCCATTTCCTTCTCCAATGCATGAAAGTGAAAAGTGAAAGTGAAGTCGCTCAGTCATGTCTGACTCTTCGCAACCCCATGGACTGCAGCCTACCAGGCTCCTCCATCCATGGGATTTTCCAGGCAAGAGTACTGGAGTGGGGTGCCATTGCCTTCCCCGTCAGTATCTACAGAGAGACATAATTTCAGGGGAGAGCCCAGGGGAGGGAGAAGATGGAAAACACCTTTGGCTTTCCACAGATCCACACCTATAAAATGTGAAAATAAGCCAACACAAGTTCAAGATGAGCAGCACACCTAAGAGGAAGACAGCAAAATCTTAAACATCTCTGAAACATTTTCCGCAATGTTTACTATTAAATCAGACCAGGGCCAGGTCCTATAGAACAGGTTGCAAACTGGTGCCTGCTAACCTAAGACATCTTGAACCATCAGTGTTTGAGTGCTTTTATTAAAGCTTAATTCCTTTAATTGGGGCATACACTTTACAGTAAGACTCTTCCTCCACCATCCCTCTCAACTGCCTTACCTTTGACCAGTGTTACTGACTGAAGTATATATCTATGAAGTGTGTGGATTTAGGGAAAAAAAATGGTAGTTGGATTCTGTTGCCCTGGGAAGGTCATGTAGAGTGAAGAGTAAAGGAAACTCAGTACAGAGTCTTAGCGAATATCAATAAAGGGAATATGCAATATGAACCTAGAACATCTTGTCATATTAGAAAGGAGTAATTAGAGAATGCTAGGGCCCTATCAAACTATGAGGCATTTTGAGCAGCTATAAAGACAAAATTGCAGTGGACTGAAATATTCCAAATATGTTTAAATCCTTGAATTCATCATAGTTCAAAAAAATCTATCAGTCCCCTTTGGGTGATGTTAGGGAACCAGTTCATTATTTTGAAAATTAGGAAACAAGAGAAGTTATCATTTAACCTGCCTTTCTAACTAGAACTGTATCTCATGGTTATCAGGCAAGTAGTTGATGAAAGAAAGTTTCTCTTTAGGGAGGTATTCAAGCTAATATGTGTCCAGGGCAAACCAATGTTAGAAGTTAGGACATCATCATTTTATAACCATGAATGAGATAAACAGATCAAGACAGTAGTTATTAATGGTTGCTAATTTGTATAACAGAAAGACTAAAACCAAGGTCCAGAATGAGCCACAAGAGGAAACAAAATGTGGAAGTTGAGTCTTGCATATTAGAAAAGGTTAAAAAACATAAATATGCAACCTACAGAAGTTCAAGGTGATTAGCCTTCATATGACTGCAGCCCTAATCTGACCTTAATTTCCTGAGCCAGAACTACCCAGCTAAGTGGTTCTGAAATTCCTGACCCACAGAAATGACAAAAGATAATAAAGTTTGTTTTTGAATCCACTAAACTTGAGGATATGTTGTTACATGGGACTTAGAGAAGTAATATAAAATGCCATATGTTAAAAATCAATTGTATTTCTAAATATAGCAACACAATTGGAAAATAAAATTTTAAAACATTTATAATAGCATTAAAAATATAAAATACTTAGGAATACTGAAAACTATAAAACAGTGTTGACAGAAAATTAAAGAAGACGTAAATAAATGAAAAGATACTCATCATGCATTGAAGGACTCACTATTGATGTCAACCCTCCCTGAGTTGATCAATAAATTCAAAGCAATCTCATTCAAAATCCCAGTAGAGGTTCTTAAGAGAAATTGACAAGTGAAATTAAATTCATAGGGAAGTGAAAAGGACCTAGAAGAGTCAAAATAATTTTGGAAAGCAAGAACAATTTGGAGGATTAGCACTACCTGACTTCAACACTTATCATAAAACACATAGTAACACAGTGTGGTAAAGTAAGACAGATGGATTAATAGGTCATAAAGTATGATATAACCATACCTAAGCATGGAATACAGAATTAAATGTATAGATAATTTGTGTTATATTCATATACAGTTATATAATACAGAATTAAAAATGAACAAGAGCTACATCTAAAACATGGTTAAATTTCAAAAACATAATGTTAAGTGAAATAGGAGCTTTCAAATTGAATAGAACTGAGAAGGGGTACAAGGAGGATTTAATGCTCATCAGATATGCTTTATTTAAAGACAAGAAATACCTGAAATACATGTCCAAGCAATGGCATTAATACATGTCACATTAGATATTAATTAATAATAATTAATACATTAATAACATGTCATACATGAGGGTTATGCTACTGTCTTCAGTGTCTTTGAAATATTTCATTTTAAAAAATTACATATGAGGAATTTTAGGCAAATTTCTAAATTGAACTTATCATTGAACAGATCATGCAATTGTGTTTAAAATAGTTGCTCAATGCAGTAAAGAAGCCGAGCCTCCCGCTGCCATTGTCTTTTGGCCTTTTCCACTAGAGGCCTTGTTTCTGCTCATTCTGAAGAGTTTGATGCAGATGAGAACATTTCCTATTTCTAAACAAGTGCATGTAGATGAGAGGAAAGCAGGAGATAGAGGAGTCTGTATCCTTTACTGAAATGCTTATGTGGACTTCCAGATGCATAAAGCCTAGCGTGCCTTCACCTTCCACCCTCTTTTCTATTTACTGCCTGCCTGAGTGTCTCTGTAAACTACTATGTGAGCTAATTTAATAGGACCTGATTTGATGCTCCTGCCTCTGTATTTTCCCATCTTCACCTATGCCTGGTAAGGATAAGGTATCTTTATAAAATAATACATCAAAAAATTAATTATAACTGAGACTTCCCTGGTGGTCCACTAGTTAAGAATCCTCCTTGCAGTGCAGGGGACCTAGGTTCGATCCCTGGTTGGGAAACTAAGATCCCACATGATGAGGAGCAACTAAACCCGGTGAGCCACAACTACTGAACCTGTATGCCTCATCGAAAGATCTCTCGTGATGTAATAAAAACCTGACACTGCTACTGCTGCTGCTAAGTCACTTCAGTAGTGTCCGACTCTACGCAACCCCATAGACAGCAGCCCACCAGGTTCCCCCATCCCTGGGATTCTCCAGGCAAGAACACTGGAGTGGGTTGCCATTTCCTTCTCCAATGCATAAAAGTGAAAATGAAGTCGTTCAGTCATATAGGACTCTTAGCGACCCCATGGAATGCAGTCCACCAGGCTCCTCCATCCATGGGATTTTCCAGGCAAGAGTACTGGAGTGGGGTGCCATTGCCTTCTCCAAAAAACCTGATGCAGTTAAATACATATATATACATCTATCTAAAAAGGGACTTCCCTGGTGGCTGAGATGGTTAAGAATCTTCCTGCAATGCAGGAGACCTGGATTCGATCCCTGGGTTGGGAAGATCCCCTGGAGAAGGAAATGGATACCCACTCCAATATTCTAGCCTAGAGAATTCCATGGGCAGAGGAGCCCGATGGGCTAAGTTGTCCATGAGGCAGCAAAAAGTCAGACACAAATGAGTTACTAATGCACATACATACACACATATTTAAAAAAAGAAGTTTAATAAAATAAGAGAATACAATATTAGGAGAGCTACAACAGCTTTAAGATGACTAAGTTCTAGGATCTAATGTACAGCATGGTGACTATAGTTAATGGTACTGTATTTTACACACGCTTGTAATTTTCTTAAAGGCTAGATTTTAAGTATTCTCACTACACCAAAGGGAAAAAAAGTTACTATAACTATGTGAACGGATAGAGATGTATATTAACTTGGCCGTGGGAATCATTTCATAGTATACATGTATGTGTGTGTGTGCTAAGTTGCTTTAGTCATGTCCGACTCTTTGCCACCCTATGGACTGTAGCCCACCAGACTCCTCTGTCCATGGGATTCTCCAAACAAGAATACTGGAGAGGGTTGCCATGCCCTCCTCCAGGGAATCTTCCTGACCCAGAACTAACCCTGGGTCTCCTGCATTGCAGGCAGATTCTTTACCATCTCAGCCACCAGGGAATGTAACCCTATAAAGG